AGCACAATAGGAAGGAGTCATTTCTCCTTCATTCTCACATAACTCTATACAATTTAATGTAATTAACTGCTTTGTTCTAGATAATAAAAGTAGGTAAAATATTTGCGAGTATTATTTTAAAGCTTTTAAAATATCAGAAGGTTTAAAGGGCAAATATAATTTATTCAACTAAATTTTGTTGGTGCTCAAAAAACATCAGCTCAGATTGTGGGACTGGGAAATAGAGTTTTCATAGCAATGATGACATCAAAAATTACTGGTGCTCATAAAAGTAAAATGTTGGGTGTCTTCTGTCATTTATTCTGAGTAGTTTTGGAAGTGTAGCTGAAGTAAAACTATGGGAATGGACTTATAATGTATCACTTATCTAATTTCTTTAAGACAGAAAGTTGGCCACAGGAGAGACGATTTAGAGCATGAAGGAGGAACACAAGGGTTTATGAGGAAAGGCTGAACAAAACAGGATTATTTAGTCTGTAGAAGAGAAGATGGGTTGCGGGGAGGGGAGGGAATTTGATAACCGGCTTCAAATTCTGGAAGGATGACTGCAAAGAGAATGGAGATAGACTTTTCTCTTTGGTTGTAGGAGTCAAGACTAGGAGCAGTGGCCTCAAACTGCAGTAGAGAACATTTAGGATGGAGATTAGAAGGAATATTCTGACTATGACGATGGTCAAGTGAGAGGGGAGGCAAAAGCCCCCCAAATCGCTTAAGAGTCCCCCTGATGCACCGTGATACTTACCACAGGGGCAATGAAAAAAGTGGCAGCTGGGGAGAGATGCCGGGGCAGAGAGAGCAGGCTTGGCAGTTCCAGAGCTCCTTGAGCCTGCAAATCAGCGGGTGCAGAGGGCATGGCTTTGGAAAGGCATGAGCTGCTCAAAAACCAGCTGGGGATGCAGATGAGCCAACATGGGGAAGAAGAGAGTGGAACTTCAGTGGAGAGACGCCGGCCACAGAGCTGGAGAGCAAAAGTCCCACACTTGGAGCAGGAAGCCAAGAGTTTGCCAGAGGATGCCGGTAGGCAAGCTGGGGATTTCAAACCCCGGGAGCAGAGGGAAGCCAGGGAGCTCCACCAGGGAAAAGCAGCCCCCTGGGATGTCACAAAGAAACAGCAAGGCTCCAGCAGAGAACCCAGGGGCCGTGGTGGGGAATGGCCCTGAGGAACCACTGAGACCCCTAGGCAACATAGCAGTGAGGGAGACATGGAGAATCATAGACCCCCATGCGGGGGGGGGGGGGGGGGGGGGGGAGATAAGCCACGTTGGCTGGTGGGACCAGGACAGCCCCAGATGCAGGTCAGACAGGCCTGAAACGGGAAAGGGGATTGGCCCAAGAGAGCTTCCCCAAGAGAGCCAACAGAGGCTTGGCACAGGGCAGCCACACCTCCCAGATGCCTACTAGGCAAGGAAGGACAGCTGAGCCCTCAACAATGTCAAAAGCCCTGGGAGATGAGGACCCTGGAGTCCATCAGTGGATGCTGACCCTTTTCATTCAGTTTTCCCTAAGTTACATTTAACCCCAGATGGGGTATGTTTAGTTGCCCAAGCACCAGTCCAAAAGATGAGGGACAGCCCTGCGAGGACTGACGGCCAGAAAGACCTAACCCTTGGAGGCAGGCAGTGTGGATGAGGCAAGATCATCAAGGAGTAAGACCTGCAGAGAGCAGAGTCTGTCCTGGCTGTGGATTTGGTAAGGGTGGGATAAAGGGGAGTTTGGAGCCCCACGAAGAAACCCAGGTTTGAGATCTCCTCAGGCCACCTACAAGGAACTGCCTCCCAAGAAGAAAAGTAAAACATCAAAGATGTGGCAGGTGAGAAAGAGCAGCACCGAAACCACCTCGCTGGTGCCAAATCCAGATCTCACCCTGATGTCACTGGACAGCAAGACACTAGCCAAGAAGGGCCAAAAACCTATAACACTTACCAGTGACATCAAGCATTGGAACAGCCTACTTGGAGAAGATACAGCAACTTCATCCCTTCAAATTTTTAAGAGCAGGTTAAACAGGCACTTGACTCGCATTGTCTAGTCAGGGATGCTCCTGCCTTGAACAACGGGCTATACTTCATGGACTAGGGACAGAAATTAAACATAAACCAATATAAGTGATTGGCAACACATTTAAATCTGTAACACAACAGAAAATTCAGTGCACATAAACCATTTTCAAAATGGCCAAAACTGGTTTAAGATAAACGTGGATGTATGCAATATCAGACTTAATTGATTTGGGTTAAATCCGTTTATTGACCTTCTGTTCCAGATCCTCTCCAGATTCAAATTAACTCTGTCCCCCAGCATCCCAAGATTCTTTGCACCTCTCCTGCAATCTTCCTCCACAGGGTGGGTGGGCCAGGCTTGGCCCAACCTCTCTTCCCCAGCTGAGCAGGGAGACATACTCTACTGCACCCCAGCTTCTGGCCTCAACCACTGCAGTCAAATGGCTGCTTTTCCAGAATCAAAAGCAAATGTCTATTCACTTGCTCATCAGTTCAATCCAGGCAATTGTGAAAACTGAACTGATTCAAACTCAATCTTTTTGACTGTCTGTACTAAGCCATGAGGTCCCTTCCAGCCCTACTCTCCTATGATCCTAAAGACGATGTGAAGCTTGCTTTGGTAGACCCCCAAACATAGAAGCACTAAGCATAATGCAAGCACCCAAGTGTAAGTTATTCCAACTGCTTGTGAACAAAATAGGTGCAAGGAACTAATACAGTGCAGAAGTTGTAAATGTCCATTTGAGCGACACTTAAGTGCACCTAAATTATAAGCACTGACTATTTCTGGCCAAATTATAACTTTAAGTTTACATCAGCATTATTGATATATGCAGCACAATTCTACTTCATCTTACTCAATCCTTCAGGGATTGAGTAAACTGAAGTAGATTGAAGCCTCAATCCTTCAATCCAACAAACAAGACATACTAGAAGTGACTAATGATTCAGCCTAGCTGAACACTTCAGGTGAAATCCAAGCCCCATTGCAACCTCAGCAGGCCTGAATTACTTCAATTGCAGGTGAAGGAGAAATGTTGTATAAGGAAGAATATCAGTCTCCATAACTACCAGGTACATCATTTGTTTAGATCCTTTGGTTAAGAGCATCAAAAGTGGGAAGACTGAATAGCCTTCAGCTGGCCCTGACTGTACACCCTGTGTGGTTTTAACTCATGGTTGCCTAATTACCTCCAGCTGATCCCAATGACCAACATAGCTGCAGCAACCTGATTATAAACCGCCACCCTCCCAGCATTCCTTGGCTACTCAACTGTTCCATAGACACCTCTCTGTAGTTCCTAGGCTGCACCATTGCCTAGCTCCTGCATGCATGGTTACCTTACCTGAAACTCTGCCTAGCTCCTATCTTGGATCTGCTTGGCCCCTAGTGTCTGGACCCCCAGTTTGCTAGCCCCCAGCTCTGACCTCCCAGACTTGCTAACTCCATAGCACCAAGCCATCAAACCAATGATTTGGATTTGGGTATTAAAAGCAAACTGGCAAAGTTCATGGAAAAAACCAAATTATGGGGGAGTGTGGTCATTCTTGAGGACAGGCTTGAGAGGCGGGCAGATCTCAATCTGAAAATGTTTAATACGGAGAAATGTAAAGTGCTCCATCTGGGGAGAAATAACCCGCAACACACTTATAGGCTTGGCAGTGCTACGCTTGCCAGCACCACAACTGGAAGAGAACTGGGTCTCATGATAGACCACAGAATGAACATGAGCCACCAATGCGATGCCGTAGCTAGCAGAGCAAATCAAACTCTGGTGTGCATCTACCAATGCATCTTGAGCAAGACTAAGGATGTCATCCTCCTGCTCTACTTGGCCTTGGTGAGACTGCAGCCAGAGTACTGCATCTGGGTCTGGGTGCCACAATTCAGGAATGGTGTGAAGAAGCTCAAGAGAGCCCAGAGGGCCATGCACACAGCATTAGAGGTCTGGAAAGCAGTTCATATGAGGAGCGGCTAAAAGACTTGGGACTGTTCAGTCTGGAGAAGAAAAGACTCAGAGGGGACTTGCTGGCAGCCTATAAGTATATTAGGGGCATACATCAGGGCCTGAGGGAGCATCTCTTCACCAAGGCAACCCAGGGGAAGACAAGAAACAATGGGCACAAACTGATTGAAGATCACTTGAGACTGGACATAAGGAAAAACTTCTTTACAAGTTGAGTGCCGAGGGTCTCGAACAGACTCCCCCCACAGGTGGTACAGTCACCCACTCTGGCAATCTTCAAGAAGTGTCTTGATGCTCACTTTGCTGGGGTCATCTGACCCCAGCAGTCTTTCCTGCCCAAGTGAAGGGGGGCTGGAACCAATGATCTTGTAAGGTTCCTTCCAGTCTCTAACATCTGTAACCCCCCTGACACATCTAGACCATGCCTGTGATACCTTTAAATATTTTTAATGAGAGTATCCCACACAAAGCACAAATCATTGAATGCATTCTCTCTCTCTTATGGAAGGATAGGATCATAGGAAGGTAGGACTGGAAAGGACCTTATACAAGGTCATCTGGACCAGCCCTCTGCTCAAGGCAGGAACATCCCTGACTAAACCATAAAAACCAAATGTCCATCTAACTCGGCAACAGCGATTTGGTTTTTTTTACTCCCATTTTCTCTAAGTTGGGTTCTGGGGTTGTTGCCCTATTGGCCCTGCACTAGTTATGCCACTAACGCTCAGTACAATTATTTGACTTTCACTATTACTTTTCCTGCTCTACCCTAGATATTTACAAAATTCAGAAAAAAGGAACAGAAATGTTTGGGTACTAGGCGCTGTAAATACCTTAGATGTATAACCAAGAGAGACCGATATAATATATTACTTATGTTCAAGAGTATACTTAGACCATTATGATTATTCCTTTAAAATATAATGGTGTCAAAAAATATTAATGTAGGGTGTGTTCCCTCCTTGAATTATAGATAAATGCAATGCAACATAATCATTCCATGTAAAAACTGACATACTAGCAAGGATTTTACCTTCATGTCACTGCAGTGTCTGATATTACCATCTTCAGTCTTTTTTTTTTTGTTTGCTGGAAGTGATTTGTAACAGATTTCAGTAGCGTGTTTCTATAAAAGAAAGAGGTGCAAATTAGGAAATGTTACTGCTAAATGTTACATGGCAAAAATGAAGAATCCAGTTGATTTCTTACCCTTAGAAGAGAGAAGACAACATTCCCATGTGCACAGTTGCTAGTGCTAAGGATTAGTACAGTTTAAATGCCAGTTAAAATTCCACTTCATAATTTATATGCAGGGTCCTGGTTTTCTCTGATAAAAATAAATCCCTGATTTTTAGGTTAAAAAGCAACTCAAAATCCACATTTTTCCATGATTAAAATGAAACACTTCTAATACATAGAGGTATATAGAGTGATGTTTTATTTTAGATATAACCCATGCAAAACAGCGGGTCTCTCAAACCTGTTACAATATATGGGGTTTTAGATTTTAGGAAAGACGACTTTCACAAGCTTAGGAGATTGGTTGGCAATGCCCTGCAAGACCATGGTCCAATGAGGAAGGGAGTACAAAAAGAGTGGTCATTCCTCAAGGAAGCGATCCTAGGAGCACAAAGGAAGTCCATTCCCTTTCATAAGAAAGGCAGCAAAAAGGCTGAGAGATCCCCTTGGCTCACTAAGGAAGTCACAGGCGTCCTGAAACTAAAGAGAGAAGCTTACAAGTGATAGAAGTCAGAAATAACCACCAAAGAGGAGTGCTCAGCAATAGCCTGCACCTGTAGGGAACAGATTAGGACAGCAAAGGCATAAATTGAATACAGATTGGCAACTGGAATCAAGGACAACAAAAAGTCCTTCTTTAGATGTGTAAGATGTCAGAGAAAAAATAAGGATGCATAGGGCCCCTGATGAACAATATGGGACGGCTGGTAACCGACACTCAGGACAAATTCCTAAACAAATACTTTGCATTGGTATTCCACCAGTCTAAGGGTGTTAGCTTGCTTGGCAGGATATAGGATGATCAAGGTGGGAGTGATCACCCTCCCATAGTTGGTAAGAGGCTAAATATCTACAACTCAGCAGGAATGGGTGAACTATACCTGAGAGTGCTAAAAGAACTGGCCAACATTGCACGACCTATGGCAGTTATTTGAAGACTTGTGGTACTTGGGAGAAATCCCAGAAGACTGGAAGAGGGCCAATGTGATGCCTATCTTCAAGAAAGGGAGGAAGGAGGGCCTAAGGAATTACAGGCCAATCAGTTTAACCTCAACCCCTGGTAAAATATTGGAAACTATACCTGAGAGTGCTAAAAGAACTGGCCAACATTGCACGACCTATGGCAGTTATTTGAAGACTTGTGGTACTTGGGAGAAATCCCAGAAGACTGGAAGAGGGCCAATGTGATGCCTATCTTCAAGAAAGGGAGGAAGGAGGGCCTAAGGAATTACAGGCCAATCAGTTTAACCTCAACCCCTGGTAAAATATTGGAAACAATTATCAAAGAATCCATTATTGATAAGCTAACAGAAGGCAGTGTTGTAAAGGATAGCCAACATGGCTTCATTGTGGGCAAGTCATGCCTGACCAACCTCATTTCCTTATGTGATCAGGTAACTCATCACCTGGGTTGGGGAAAATGAGGTTGATGTCATTTACTTGGAGTTCAAAAAGACCTTCAACCTAGCCTCCCATGATGTCCCCAGGGTAAAATTGGGAAAATGTGGCCTTGACTACCTTACAGTCCAGTGGCTAGGTTACTGGCTCTGAGGTAGGACCTAGAGAGTATTAATAGATGGAACTGAGTCAACATAGCAGAAGGTGACCAGTGGTGTCCCTCAGGGTTCAGTACTCAGACCAGTGCTTTTCAACTTGTTCCTCAATTACTTGGATTGGGGTATTAAAGGGGAACTGGCAAAACTCACAGATGATACCAAATAATGGGGAAACATGATCATGCTCATGGACAGGTTGGCCTGGACAGGCTTATGAGGCAGGAGGATATCAACCTGATGATGTTTAATATGGAGAAATGTAAAGTGCTCCATCTGGGGAGAAATAACCCGCAACACACTTACAGGCTCGGCAGTGCTATGCTTGCCAGCGTCACAACTGAAAGAGACCTGGATGTCATGATAGACCACAGAGTGAACATGAGCCACTAATGTGATGCCATAGCTGGCAGAGCAAATCAAATACTGGCATGCATCTAGAGCAAGACTAAGGACGTCATCCTCCCACTCTACTCAGCCTTGGTGAGACTGCAGCTGGAGTACTGTGTCCAGTTTTGGGCACCACACTTCAGGAAGGATGTGGAGAAGCTCAAGAGAGTCCAAACAGGGCCACATGCATGATTAGAGGCCTAGAGAGCAGGTCATATGAGGGGAGGCTGAAAGACTTGGGACTGTTGAGTCTGGAGAAGAGAAGACTCAGAGGGGATTTGATGGCAGACTGTAAACACAGGGTCTTCATAATCCTTGTGCACATTTAAACTTTAATAACTTAAGTTATAGGTATGATAGAAACAAGCTGTAAATGGCATTTAAAAAATGTATTAAAGTTTTAGGACAACTAGAGTACACAATGCTAGACTTCAACATAATCACCATCTATCATGATACAGTGCTCAATCCAATCTTCCAACTCCTTGAAAACGTTTCCCAGTTGCTCTTGAGTTACTACACTAATTGCATTGGTGATCCTAGCCCTAAGTTCCACCACAGAATGTGGTTTTGACAAGTAAACTACACTTTTAACATGTCCCCATAAAAACGTCATTTAGGAACTGTTGCACATTCAGAACAAAGTGGCACAGAGCTTCATCTTATTTAAGAATACATTTTTTATTACTTATGGAGTCTAGCATTCCATACTCTGCTTGCCCTAAAACTTTCATAAATTTTCTTTTAAATGCCATTTACAGATAGGTTGCAGGTATGACAGAAACAAAGTTATTAAAGTTCAAAAGTGCACACTGACTTTATAAAGACCCTGTATATTAGGGATGTACATCAGGGCCTGGGGGAGCATTTCTTCACCAAGGCACCCCAGAAGAAGACAGGAAACAATGGGCACAAACTGATTGAAGAGCACTTCAGACTGGACATAAGGAAAAACTTCTTTACATGTTGATTGCCAAGGGTTTGGAACAGACTCCCCACACAAGTAGTACAGTCACCCACCATGGCTATCTTCAAAAAACATCGTGACACCCACCTTGCAGGGGTCATCTGACCCCAGCAGTCTTTCCTGCCCAAGTGCAGGGGGGCTGGACACAATGATCTTGTAGGTCCCTTCCAGCCCCTAACAACTATGAATATGTCTTATATGGGATGCACTAATCTAGTCCCCAGCCTTTCAGCTAAGATCAAGCATTTTTAGCACCAAGAGAAGGGTTTCAGGGCTGGCTCTGGCCCACCCAGTGCTAGCCTGGTATTACAGTACTACCAGACCCAGTGCCAGTTCCTAATGAAAAGAACGCCCACCTTTTTTTTTTTTATTTATTTATTTATTTTTTTAGGGCCAACCCCCCCCCCCCCCCAAAAATAAAAAAAAACCGCCCCTTTTTTTTTTTTTTTTTTTTTTTTTTTTTTTTTGCAGCCCCCCCCCCCCCCCCCCAAAGATTTCCTCAGTATATTTGCCCCACACAAGCCATGTATTTTATAGTCATGCTTAATGTTGTCTTCATTTAATAAACTTTATAATTGGTTTCACTGCTTAGCGCACACTCCTTCTGGCAGCAATTTAATGAGGTTTCCTTGTATGTGAATGTAAGGTGAGGGGCTTTATTCCCCGATGCTGACTGAGGGAAAAAATCTCGTCTTGTATTCAAGTAAATACACTTGAAACAGACTGTGGTGTCAAAGCACAGAAAAGCTAAATAAATCAAACAAATTCACACAGGTTACATTTTCTGTGTGTTGAAATGCAAGTGCCACGTCGAGATGCCTGTGCAGAACATTACGCTAATGCAAGTACGCTACCTCTGGCATCCAAGTTCACTTAGCACTCACTTGGGGATCGTGCACCGTGTTGTGCAGACCACCCCTGCAATGACTCAGTGCTAGAGTTTGAAAGAGAAAACAGCTGGTCTGAATCTTCCACTGGAGTAAGTGCAGCTTGGAATATCAGGCCCCAGGATTCAGCAGTGTTGACCACAGCACACACTGCATGATAAACTTCTAGTAAAGACGAGCACTTGGTATTTTTAAACTATAAAAAATTAAACACAAAAATGGTCTGCACTCAACACTAAAGCTTGATAAGCCCAATACCAATGTAGCAGTGATAACATTTTTGGTTCAGAATATTCTTATAAACAACACAGGATCTACTTAACTAAAGTACTAGATACCCGCTGCCCCTTTTCAATGTCTGAGATCAGCAGGATTCAAATGGGAGGCTCTTCTGAGAACTCACATTAATGTTCTAATAAATAAAATAAGCAGCATCTTTTCCATTGTGGATCTTGGCTTCTGTGAGCACCTGGACTAGATGACCTCTGGAGATCTCTTCCAGCTCTATTTCTCAATGATTCTATGATGTATTTTTTTTAAGGGGGGAGGATAATACAGGCTGAAAAGGGTGATGGTTTATGTTTGCATTTGTTATTGCAATGTTCTGTGATCAGATAGAGAGAAACTAAAGAGTTCTCAGACCAAGGATTTCATGCTGGCTTACTAAAAAGAGGACATATCCACAACTGTTCTGAAATCTTTGTCAGTTTCAACGTGCCTTGTAGGAATAAATACTGAAAACAGACATGCTAAGACATGAACAAAGTAGAGTTTTTTTCTGCCTGAGGAGCAGTTTCAGGAGCTTTCCTCAGACAAAAAATGTTAGGTCAATATCATAAAAGCAAACCCCATGCTATTTATATTAAATGATTTATCCGACAAAAATAAACCCACATTTTGTTCACCATTTGTTTGTTCAGATTTCACGTTTAAGGAAACTGATCATGCCAATGATAGGATTGCTTCATCCAAATGCATTTCAACCTATGGACTGCAAAATGACTAGGTGTTAACCTAGACCACCATTCTTTTCGGAGAACCTCCCAGAGAAACTCCCACACATATGTAAAGTCTTATATTCACTGGATCT